TTTTTTTTTTCGCATTTTATGATAATTAGGGAGCTTAGCTTATGGTATTTAACAGCTTTGTGGGTGTTTAGTGCCTTACCCTTGCGAATGGAGGCAAAATTAGGCATACGTAATGAAGAAATGAGCATATTTCTAAATCTCAATTTTCATGCACAGCTGTCAAAGGGTCCGTGCCATCATTGAGTACAACTTTTCCTTTTGGCAATGATTGATATCCATGAGCCCAACCAAGTGATGGACCAAAATGTGGTACGTTCTGAACCAACAGTGGAACACAATATATGTTCTCATGGTTCATAGGAGATATGAAGGTTACTTGTTAACTATCTCCCTCTTCCCTTCCCCTAACTATTGCCATAGGATTGATTAATGTCCCAATACACATTGCTAGACCTCTTATTCCCCCTAATATCAGGATCTTTTGGGTGCAATTGGGGGAAAGGGAATTACATCACAAGGTTGGGAATCATGGACAACTCCATCCATTGTCTAAGGTGCATCCAACCATTGCAAATGGCTTCTTAATATATATATATATATATATATATTTGAAAAAGGTACAATATAAAGTAAATAATGAAGAATTATAACATGTCAATACTATAATTTAAATTTTAATAATTACTAAAATATTAAATATACCCATTAAATGATCCATAAATTTTAATACAAATAGCTTTTTAATGATTCAGCAGTAAAATAAAACTTCATGTATGTACTATGTGATAGCATCACAAGATAAGAGAGTAGAATATCTTTAGGGTATAGCTGTGAAGACTTAGACTAGGTGCCGGGTCCAGGAAATAAAAAATCCAAGGACTAATTCGTCGTCTTCCAAAAGTTTATAGTTTTATTGCAGGACAAGTAATTGGGATTCCTTTGGGGTGCTCATTGGAACTGAGTAAATGTCGTCAGCCAATCCTGTTCTGGGTCTTCTAAATAGATTCTAGTCATCATACCTTTGTCCTCCTTTTAGCTTCCAAGTTGACTTGCTGAGCTGGAAACAGGGGTTTGAATTTGATGGCCTCAATAGGCTTGAGGAGGTGCAAAGGGCCATGTTAAGGGGGGTTTCATAGGTGCATTTTGAGTTCTGATAAGACATGGATTTTTTCTCATCTTGATTCAGTTTGCTTGATGGTCAACTAGCATATGCCGTGGGGGGGAGCTATGTGATTTCCTTGAGTTGATATTGTGGGTTACCACTTATTTGACTTTCTCTCCTGAATCTTTCGTGACTGTACCTTTGATTAGATCCTCCCATCAACGAATCTAAATGAAAAGCCATTTCTCTTGATGTTTTCTTTCTGAAGTTGCAATCTGCAAGAATCCTGCCTTGGCTTCTTAGCTCTTAGAACGTTTTGGTAGAGCATTATTGGTCCGTTTGTGTCACACTCTGGACAATTTAATTGTTGAGCCATTCTACTTTTTAACTCTTCGAGTCTTTGTTCTAATTAACATGGACTTTGATGGCAGCCTCTTTATGTTTGCTATACTTCTATTGTCTCCAATTGCATTTGCATTCACATGTAAACTTCAATTGTCCCATGATTTTTGCCATTTCCGTTCTTTTACAGAATCAGGTTCCATTTGATATTTTCCATCAGCTACCCTTGATGATACTTTGGTCATTTCTTTGGTTCAAATTGATACCTTTTTTTAGAACCAGTTTAAACTGAAAGCAACATTTTTAAAAAGTAACATTTTTAAAGAGAAATATTTGTCTGCTTCCCTGCTACCTTGTTTTTGGAATTTTTACATCATCATAAGTGATGGCAGTATATTGCAAAGAGATGATCTGGTTCTTACGCCATGTATTTTTTGATGATTGATATGAGGTAGTGCTACTGCTACCACATTTTGTGGAGTTATACCATTCTAGGGAGAGATGAAAGATAGATTAGCACTATAAATAACATTATACTCCTTTCAAGCAAATGGCCTGATACATCTTTACTATTCAGAAATCCATAATTTGACACCCCCCACAAAAGAGACATACTAAGATGAAAATAGAAAACCCTTGTAGAAAGATACTACTATTGTCCCATTTACTAACTGAAACCACAACTACAGCTATTACAACTGCTGCATTTGCCTATTCATTTTACACAAAAAGACAGGGTAGTGTTTGTGGGGTCATGACATGTCCATCCTGGAGGATCAGGGCTTTCCAGAACTGGAAGGGTCTGGGTTAGAACTAGAGCTGAGGTTGAGCTCAGGGATAGTATTGCCTTCTGGGTTTCCCTTTGGGTTGGCCTTGGGGAGTTTCTGCTTCAGCTCAGATAGCAGGGCTTGATTCTCCTGGTTGAGAACCTGTGCTTTCTTCCTCAGCCTCTCATTCTCCTTCATTATGTAACAGTTCTGCAGGTACAGCTTTGAGTTCAGCCTCTCCATTTCTTCCAAAAGAAACTTCCCACACTGCCTTTAGTATCCCTGAAACCCAGAAAATAAAACATTATCCTTTTTGCCACAGAAATCATTGCACATCACATGGACACACAGACAGAGACAGTATTGTTAAAATATTTTTTAATCCACATCTTAAAATATTAAGAAATTTTACCAAGAACAAAGATGAAATAAGAGAGGAACTCAGCAAAAACAGAGGAGAAACAGAGCAGGCGTATGCTGCCAAGGGATGTGATGTAAATTTTGAAACACCATGGAGTTTAAATAGAGCAACATGATTGCTTGTGAAATAAAGGGAAGAGATACAGGTTTGAATTACAGCTGTCCAAATCTATAATGTTAGGAAAAAAAACATTCTCTTTCGGCTGCCCAAACATGTAAGAAAGGGATAAAGTCATGGGAAGATCAAATGAAAGATTGAACTTGTTTGTCACTACATTTGTAGCATCTATATGTAAATATTATAGACAGTTTTAGAAACAACCCTAGCTCGTGCCTGATCTTGCATTCAGTCTGAAGAATGCTACCGAAAGTTGTGAAAACAGAATGCAAAAAAGGGAAAGATAGCAGCTGCTTCAGAGACTGAGAAAGAGAAAGAACTCTTGGAAAGCAAGAAAAGACAATAAATGTTGTAGAATCCAAAAGAGAGAAAAACATTAAAAATTGTAGATATCCCTTTTCTTCCTTCCTCATACGGGAGAAATGCAATATATGGAGAAGCAGTATTTTAGATACATAGCACACATAAACTACAAAATTCCCCTAATTACACTCAAAACAAGATACCCATGTACATGAAAATATGTTTTTCTTTCTTTGTGAAAGGAAGGTAGAAGAAGTAAAAGAAGAGAAGGAGCATGAGACAGAGAGGGGGAGAAGTGGGGGCCTCTTCTCTCCTCTTTATCTTTTCAAAAAAGATCACCTTTTCAAGGTGGTTGTTGGGGAGAGAGCTTTGGCCGAGGAAGCTATTGCTGGTTTCTAACAACTAGTAGCAGTAAAAAAAGGAGTGCGAGGGAGGGACAAAGGGAACAATGGGGAGGTGTTAATAAATAGAGCAAATGCCAGAGAGAGAAGAAGAAAAGGCTTCCCTCATGGTCTGTGAGGGGAGAGAGGGAGAGGGAACATCCCTCTCTCCTCTGACACAACAATCATGCATGTGTAAGCATGGAAGGCGGCCGGTTAGGGGCGAGGATTTAATGTCTTGGTTTTGTGTATGATGAAGGGTTGGAGAAAGAGGCTATGGCGTTATGTGAATGATGATGGTGAAGGTTTTGTTTCCTTTATAATTTTTATTTTTTTGGTTAAAAATGTGTTCTTCAATTTTGATTGTAAAATGAAAAATACGTAGTCTGAGCAGCAGTATTTTCTTTTTTTTTTTATGTTGATTGTATAATGAGATTAATTTTTTTTATTTTTTATCTCATTTTATTTTATGTTATATGAGTCGAATTTAAAATTTTTTATTTTTAATAAAATGAAATTATTATTGAATTATTTAAATCATTAATTGAAAAGCAATCATTTTAATAAAATATTTTTAATGAAAGTAT